ATAAGCCATTGTGTATCTACGGCCGCTAATACACTCACAGCGGTCAATTGGAATGATGCAAAGAGGAGGGTAATCCACAGCTACCGTGACTGGCTACGATCAGTACGTGTGTTTCTCTACGTAATCCTCAACATGCTAATATGTCACGTACTAGGCGCCTGAGGTCCAGACCATGTATACCCTCAACCTCCCTGTTTCTACCCTTCGGACCAAAGTACGACAAGAGTTCGAGCGGCATCGATATGTGAATCAGCTACGGACGGTAGATGTCTTATTGTTTTCAAGCCATCAAGAGTACCAGGTATGCTGGCGATACTTCTACGAACCTTCATAGATACTGGTTGGGAGAAGCTAAGGCTAAACTATTGCAGGAAACACTCAATTTCTGGAAACAGACTTCACAGTTGCTCAAGTACTTCCGCGCTGAAGAAGAGCCCAAGGCAAGGCTACCGAGCAACTTCATCAATGGATTCTTAGAGGTATGTGTTTAGCACCTTGCTACGCATGACTGGAATTGAATGCTAATATCCCAAATAGGGCCGCAGCAACTGAACACGTCATGTCATATTGCTTGATGACGAGAGAAGCCAATGGATAGAAAGCATGTATATAACTGAAAAAATACCATTTCCGTTTTGGAGCGCCTATAACTCACTATCCGATTTGTTGAAACACCTACCATCTAACGCCTGATACAAAAATCAATTTCTTTTACTCCTGCATGCTGTTGACGAAATCATCCCTTGAGATTTTAAACTTCTCCTCGACCACATCACACATGGCCATAAGGTCTTCGAGGCCTTTCTCAAGTACTGTGTATACGCTGACACCATCTGATTGATTTGATCATTAATCACTCTTTCAACAGACATTGCGGAAATGGGTCGATTACGATGAAAACTTACCATACGTCTGAATTCGTAGGTTCATCTTGGCCTCTGACGGATGAGGGATCGAGTAGCCGCAGAATTCAACATCAGGGCTATTAATCACGTTAGCTGTTATCGCAATCGCCACTTGTAGTTAGATTTGACTAGGATGGCTGTGTGACTTTGGCTCACTTTTTGTGAATGATATATCTAAGTGCATTGCCTAGCGTATGGTCCTCGCCATCGATTTGAAATGATGCCGCGGTTTCTGTTGCTCCAGAAAGCTAAAAGCGTTAATCTCTTGTCTATTGTTCTTTGAGCTTGACTCGACGTACAACCCGGATCCTATCGCGGTCTACTGCCGGATCTATCTCTTCCTCAGTTGCAGATGTCGGGTCTATGATTGGAGTAGGCTCTTTTTCTTCGGTGGTGCCTGGCATTATGATAGATTTTCTAAATATTGTTGCTGTGTCAAGTGGTTACTTTATGCAGGAGGGTGATTGGGTAGAAGCGTGACTATTGGAGTTGCCAGAAATTTTACGTGCACGCCTTACTTCGGCGAATCAGTGGATGGCCTTTTTTTTTTAGCCCTACGCGCCAAGACCGGTGACGTGGGGCGTGGGGTAGCTTTTGTTTGCGACATTCCTCCAAATACATAGCACTCCACTCCAGGAAGTAAAAATAATAAGCAATTGTTGCAATGCCACGTACAGCTTGTCTCAATCGAGACACAAATGAGACCAAAATCCAAGTCTCCATCAACCTCGATGGTGGCGAACTGGAGGCCTATCAACAGTCAGACTTTTGGGATGCCCTAGACAAAAGGAATCTCAACGGCGAAGGCGAAAAGGTTGAAAAAGAGCACGCCAGCCAAAAGTCCAATAGCCAAGAAATCGGTGTCGACACTGGCATCGGCTTCCTCGACCACATGATCCACGCCCTCGCCAAACACGCTGGCTGGAGTTTGAGGATAAGGTGCAAGGGCGACCTGCACATTGATGACCATCACACAAGCGAAGATGCGTGTTTGGCCTTGGGAACGGCATTCAAAGCCGCACTACAAGGATCCACAGGCCTAGCGAGGTTTGGGCACGCATACGCGCCTCTCGACGAGGCCCTGTCTAGGGCTGTAATTGATCTATCAAACCGACCTTACAGCGTCATTGAGTTGGGACTAAAGAGGGAGAAGATTGGCGACTTGAGCTGCGAGATGATCCCGCATTGCTTGCAGAGCTTTGCGCAGGCGAGCGGTACTACGCTGCATGTTGATTGCATACGAGGCGATAATGATCATCACAGGGCCGAGAGTGCCTTCAAGGCTCTCGCTATCGCCATTAGGCATGCGACGACTGTGGTTAAGCAGTGGGAGGGTGAGGTCAGGAGCACCAAGGGTGTATTATACTAAGAACCTCAGTAACTTGCACGCTCCTGAAACAAGTATGGAAAAAGACCTAAGGTTTGGGCAACCTCATATGCTATAAATCATCTCTTCATCTGTAAATTTCTCGTAACTACATGTCTATGAATCTCAATCTATGTCGTACATCATCACTCATTCGCTCGCTCCGCCCACTCCACCCATCTTTTAACTACATCATCCACTTTCTTCACTCCCTCTTTACTCGCTTCGACCTCAAACCACTCTTTATGTGTCTTCCCGCACGCCTCGCAATCTTTGATAACACGCTGTGCTCCAAGTTCAAGATGAATCAAACGCTCTACACGATGTGCATGCGGCACCTTGCGCACACCGTCCGATGGCCGCGACCCATACGACGGTCGGCGCGATTGTGCAGGTGACGTTTGAGGTGAAGGCGTTGGGGTGGACGGTACGTAGGGATAGTACCGCACAAGACTGAGACTGTACCCGCATTGGCGAGTCCATTCATTCATGCGGCGATGTACGTTGTTTGCACGGCCGATCTTGAGGAGAATGGTGTCTGATAGCGCTGTTGCAGGGCTAGAGTTGCTGCGCCGACGCGTTGTGTCTGGCCGCTGTGGTTTCTTGACAGAGTATTGCCGCAATACATCGGATGTGCGCCGACCCTGTGCTGATCGTGACGGAGGCGCAAGCAATGTCGACGCTGTAGACGATGGCGCGGGGCCTTGGGCATCGGGCGTGAGCCAAAATATATAGATATACCCTTCATCGTCATGGGGTGAAATTGGTTTTGAGAGTTCGGCAAGAAGAGTCGATGTCAGTTGCGGTGAGAGAGTTTGTGGTATGTAACGGAGCAGCACTGATGTCTCTGAGTTTCCTTGAGCAGTCTTATTGAGCGGCCGCACGGTTTTGGCACCTAGTGGCTTTCGGTCAGGCATATTGCTCGACAGTTGTGCCTCGGAATGAGGTTTTGGAACAGTTGCGCTTGAACGTCGAGAAGATCCATGGTGTACTGGAGGCGAAATTTGGGCTGTATGCTGCATAGAAGTATCTGGCGCGTATTGTGATATAGTAGGGGTATGACTTGTCCGCTTCTTATGGCGGATAACTTCAACATGATCATCGTCCGCAGAACCACAGCACAGCGATGCCCAAAAGCTGGACTTTTGTGTCCGTGGTGGTGGCTTTGGTGGACGAGTTCGGCGCTTCTCCGCAGCCATAACATCGCTCGGTATGGAGATGAGAGGCCCTTCGACATTATCCCATGTGGGCGGGCGATTTATTCTCCTCGGTGGCCTAGAAGTAGATTTATGATCATCTGTTCTACTCTCCCTCCTGCGTTTGTTCACAGCGGGCTCATTGACCTCCAGAACACCTAGTCGTTCAACCAGCGTATCAATGCTGTTGCGCTCCTTCAATGGGTAGAGATGTGTTGCAGGGCCGCCTGAAGTTTGCGCTGCGAGTTGCTCGGCTTGATCTTTATGTTGCCAACAAAAGTAAGCAGCAGCACCAATTTCTTCATCATCTTCGTCGCTCACCACGGACACAACCGCAAGCACACCATCATATTGAGAGGCTTTCGCATCAATAGGGCGTCTACATGGACGCCCGGACTTGGTTATTCCTTTGCATGTGGTAGCCGGGTTCCTGGAGTCGGAGCGCGGGATGAGAGATTCTGGTGTTCGACCAGTGAATGCCATGGCTAGTCGTAACCAGTCGTCACCAGCGTGGTAGCAAAGTAAAAACAGACGCTCTGGAAGGAAATAGTGTAAATTCTGGATTATGATCACAACGTGTTGATTGTGACTTCATAGCCTCATTGTAGCGGTGAGGCGCGTGGAAAGCTTTGGATATTCACAGCACAACGCGTGTATGGTAGCAGATAGTGATAGAAGCAACGCAGCTCAAGATGCAATGGGCATTATGAAGGCACTATGACTTGAAGGACGTTGCCTTGCTGTCGGCGCTTATAACCAAGAAAAAGTGGCTGGTCGAGGCGGTGCATGCACTGCGCACTCGGCTTAGCGTCGCTACGCGCCACCAGAATACGAAGTCGACAAGATGAGACTCATCACCTCTGGTGGAGAATGCAGGATTCGGATTCGGCACCACGCATTTTATGTCGATTAGGCGTGGCAATCTCAATATAGCTAGTATTAGAGCTTGCTCTCTACTCTTTGTGTCGAAAAATAGATCTGTCGTAAGGTATTTTTAAGATAAGAATGAGTAAAAACTACATATAAACTATAGTAGTTTGCAGCCAAAATAGGGTTCTGGTAGGCTACTGGCGTTAGTCTAAGATAGCAACGACTACTCGTCGCGACTGCGAGATGGCTGAGTGAAAATGCCAAGTTTACCGATGAACGCTGCTCACTAAACCTCTATATTCCCTCGTCTGCGCCGAGGGGCAGTATAGTATAACATATATGTTCTATCTAGTTATGAGTTCTCTAGATGCTACTTAAAACTCACATTTAGTCAGCGGTACATGTCTCTCAAGAAAATTGGCGAATAACAAGATAAGACTTCGTCTTGAGTCGTCGTTCCTGTCGTCAGTTATGTTGCTTCTATTCATTATTGTAGTCCGAAGGATATTTTCAATGGCTTAAGATGATATGTGTTTTGGCATAATGCAGTCTACAAAACACGGCTCAATTCAAATTTCGCTTAGCAGTCCTTCCCACGTGACCCAAAAAAAAAGTTTGCAATCCACTACACCAAACCATCTACAAACAGCAAAAAGAACACGATGCATCGGCCGGGAATCGAACCCGGGGCTAGCCGAATTGACATGTAGGAATGGCAACGGCTAATTTTACCACTAAACCACCGATGCTTGTTGTGTTGATTCGATGGAGAGGTAGTGAATTGGTTGGAATATATCTGGCATAATCAATGGGTGCTACCTTCTAAAGTGGGGCCATGTTCTAGAACCCATTGCAAATCATTGTGTTAGGCAGATTTTTGACCTGTTTAGCTCGAAATGACGTAGTTCCTCGCTCTTTGCTAGCCGCTAGGTCTTTTCATTCGCGATCATTCGCTCGTTATTGCGGTTTCATGATTTCGTAATAGCAGTAAAATATAGTAGTGAGCACAGTAATATGCGCAAAGGCGTCGGGTTTCTGCTTGTATATCACTTACCGCGATAAAAAAGCAGTGTCCACTCCAAAAACAAGTACTTCGAATGGAAATGATCTCCTCGAATGATAAGAAACCTGAACAAGCGATCATGCCAGTATGCCTTTTCTGACTGAACCAATTTATGAATCATTTTCTATCTGTCCATACTTCAACCTTTCGGATCTGGTATTGTGTTCCCTTTTCAACCATAAAACCATGGCATTGCAGACACCTAGACCTTATACACGAATGCTTTTACACTGAGTATAATTACTTCAATTAGTCTACTGCGTATAGGGTAGTGCTAGATATCCTATAATTTTCTATCCTAAATCCCAGCTAGGTTAATGTTAAACATTTTGTTTGATACTTAGTTAAAACTCTATACAGTAGACCAACTTTGAATGATGAGTGATATACTGATCTGTACTGGGAAATTTTATGTGTACTGTAGATGATTGTGCAATACTGCAATCCGCATGTTTGTCTTAGATGGAAACTACAACAGCTTCAGATGTCATTCGACTGCGTGCATCGATAAAGTCGTAATATGTTGCTTAGGGACACTGTTCACCATCTGTCTGTGGTCGAGCCTCCCTGTGCGTCGAGGCGGAGCCAAGACTACCCTGTCTGGTAGGTAGGTTGGGACCCGAGTCACCAGTGCATATTACTGACAAACAACCCTTCCCAAAAACGTGGCGTAACCTTGGAAATCCAGCTACGAAGCAAATGCAACTGAATAACATAGATACATGGGTAGAGTGAGAAGTATCAAGCTATCCAGTAGAGTATCAATCCTGCTTTGAGCTAATGTGATGTATCTATCAGCACCATAACGAAATGACTACGTCATCTCTGCCATTCCTGATCCCAAGGAAATCTTGTTAGGACTAAGCTTTGAAGATGGAGAGAAAGCTTTAGGCTGCCAGAGGTCTCAGTGTTAGTCGTTTGCAGTACGCCATGTTTCTCGCACAAATGATGAAGGTCGATCGCCCAAACACCGAGTATGTTTATACCGGGTTCTCGCAAGGCTTAAAGGTTACTTCTTCAATATTACTTGCTCAGGTTGAAATGTGTTGTGGGTCTGACGTAACTCTTAAACTATAAGTACTAGATTCTATATGGAGCTTCGTTTCCTATGCCGATCAACATTAGCGCTTATGGTGGCATTTTCAAAGGCTTGAATTATAGTATCCAATATATAGCAATCTGCGGGGATTGCGGGGCTGGTCTCACTCTTGAAACGTAAAAGTTTGGTTGACATGTAGGGGGACGGGAAAGTCGGACGTAAGCCTATGCTTTTGGAACGCAAAACGTGAGCCAATGAGACGCCATACAACCTGATATCAAAATTTTGCCCACAGAGTTGTATGTATTGTATCCTGCCAGGTGAAGTAATCTCAAAGGAAATAACGCCAGGTTACTTTTCTCAGACTAGGCGTCATCATGTTGGTGTATTGAAAAGATTGATCATGACTTTCGAATAATCAAACATCATGAATTACAACGCATTACACTTGCCTCAACATGTTAGGCAGTTCTTCGAAATGATCGACAAACATGTGTGTTACACCACGACGCGGTTCTATAACATTGGCCAATGAAGAATGCCCCATAGAGCAAACCCCCAGAGGAGAGAGGGGTGAAGGATCGAAACTCTGCCTGGTCTAACTTGGGAATTGTAACCCCAGAGTGAGACAATGGGACCAACTGCTATTCGCGCAGTTGCATCACGACGCGGTGCCATACTCGGGGTCAACAAAGAATGTCTTTCGAAAAAGCACAAACGAAGTGATTGGAAGGGCTGGGGGATGGAAAGATATAAAAGAAGCCAGACTCAAGCCCAAAGATACCCTCAACAGAGCCGTCCAACACCTCACATCTTCACTCAATCAATCAAAATACCGTTTCAGCGAAACCTAAAACCATTCACGATGTAAGATCTCCTAGAGGCCTTTCATCAAGGCAAATCATCTTCCCAAATTTGGAGCTCCAGTTGCTGACCATGCTGTTTGGTGAAAAGGAAGCCTGTCGCTTTCGCTATTCTCTTCACCACCCTTGCGGCTGCTGTCTCCATTCCGGAGATGTTTCAGCCCGAGAAGCGAGTAGGTTGAGAAACTTGGACCATGCAATCGTTTGTTTGTTGCTAAAATGTTCCGCAGTGCCAAGGAGAGGGAGCCTACTGTGATAGTGCCGCCTTTAGATGCTGCGGTGGGGTCTGGTGTTGCCCATTTGGACCAGCTGGTATTCACCACTGCAACAGAGATAAGACAGATGGGTGCTACTAAATTAGGCGCCTGGGATAAAAGCACTGCAGCTCTGGAGTGAAGAAGGCATTAAACTGCAGGGCGGACGCTTTCCTGCAGCCGATAGGCATGAAGAAGTGCTCTTGGGCAATTTGCAGCTTCAATTATATTCCTAGAGGCACTGCATCTACTTAGCTTACTTTGTCACTCATTTATCAATCAAGCTCTAGGTCTTAACCCCAATAAGCATCTTCCAGGCCAGTGACTTCTATCTTTGCCCCTTGAGATTTATTTGCTTCGGGTTCTATCTTATTGAATATGCCCCCCCTGATTTATCGATACTTTTTGCGGTAAAACGAAAATACACTCAAAGTCTCAGTGTCGTACACTCTCTATGGCTCCAAGTAATGCTGGCGAGTCCATACGGAGTGCTGTATGGTCATTTTGAACCAAGTATGTAGTCATTTTCCTTAGCTCCAGTACTTCCTCTCCTCTATGTTAATATTCATTCTTCACAGGATGAGACAAACTCCCGGGAAATATAGTTGTGAGAAGGTAAATATATGCGTAGCTGAGTTCTCTGCGCACAACCATATTAATCTGTATGAATGTTTCTACCCTATATTATGCACAATACCTGATATGAAGCTGTTGTAAAATGCAGACAAGGCTAATTGGATAGCAAGTTATACTGCATCACTTTAACTCGCTTCAAAGCTTCGAAAAGTTCTGACTATGGTAAGACCGCTTTGGAAAATTGGGCTTTTTTTCAAGTAGAAGCTTCTTGAACATTGGCAAGCTTATCAAGCACTATTTTATGGCCTGGCTTCTCATTTCTTCCTTCACAGTCACGGTAGTTACTACTGGGTGATATACTGGTCGTTACGAGGAAAGTTCGTATATACTACGGATGATTGTACAACGCTACTACATGTTTGCCTACGATAGGAACCGCAACAGCATAAAGTGTCATTTGACTGCGCGTATCGATGGGCGTTTGGCATTCTTCAGGAGATCGAAAGAATCGGCAGTCTCTTTACCCCAAACATAGCTTCAACATATTAAACTAGCTACGGTAGATCCATTTGTGCGGGACTTGACGTACGTCAACTTGTACGAAACATGAGAAGGAGTTATATTAATGATATTTTCATTTTGGTTCGCCTCTTCAGCTCGCCATCGGAGTCGGTGCCGTTGTCGTCATCCAAATAATCATGCTCAGAGGATCTATCCGACTCCTCAAAACACTCCACGACTTTGATGATTAGCCACGTACATGCCTGTGTGGACTAAAGACTTACTAGGAAGACTTTTCACCACCGCTGACATGTCGAAGGCCGATGCATGGGTAAGATTAGAGACAGGTTCCTTTTCCCCAGCAGATTTACGTAATGCCGGTATAGTAACCTCTTCATACCAGTTCGTAGTTTTTGGCCTGATCTCCCCACTTGTAGTGACCAACAATCCCTTCCTCAGGTACCTCCCATAGACAAACGTAGTAGTTGATATAGTGTTTGTTTCCTTTATTGTACGGGTCTGGAATACAATAATGTTCCATCCCGGCGGCTACATCGAGAATCGTTAAAACCATTTCTAAGCCGAGCAGCAGGATCAATAACAGTTAGGGTCTGATTTCCTCGCTTCATACTTCTCCATGTTACGAGATCCTGGAAGCTGCGAGACTTTCCGGCGTGTAAGAACTCTCGACCTATCATCATTGGCTTGTGGATGAGGATTTATAACTGTAAACATATACTAGATTGCCGTGTGCTTTTTTATTTGCAGGTTTTGTCGTTTTTTTTTTTTGGAAAATTTCCGAGAGCATTCGATGAAGTGCAAGCACAAGACTGCGATCAGGCTGCACGCCCCTGCAGTGTGCTTCTTTCGGGACGCCTTGGTCTCCCGCTGCATAGGGGGAAAATTAACCGAAGTATTAGGCTTTGAGGTTAATTGTATGTTGCGCATTGAGGTAGTCATACTTTTCTTTATGGTTGACGGTGGAGTCCCCAGATGATTCAGATCACGTGACTCTTCTTTGCCCTATTCTAGGTTGCGGCCATAGGCTACATGCCACAGATTTAGCCCTTCAGCCTCTGTGGCTTATATTACACTGTAATTGTTTTGTGAATGCACCGAAGGTGTCTTAGGATGGCCAGCGCTTAGTTTGGCAGGTACTGATTAGCGCGGCAACATTGCATCAATTATCTGTTCATAGCCGGCACAGGACCGACAATTACTTATCTGCATATTGATTATGTTATAAGATACTGATACTATATTGTTATGACTCCTGGAGCAATAAGAACCTAGTGTCAGAGCTGTAGTAGGGAAGTCACACCACGCCATAAAAAAGGCCTACATTTCTAATTACCAACCTTTCAATTACCTACCCAATTGCTACTAGCACCGCTATGGACAAACGTTAATATTGTTCAAACTTTGAGTTTAGTAGAAGACAATCTTCTCCCAT